TAGCCAAGATGTGGCAAAAAAAAAAAATACAGTTTTAAAAGCAAAATATAAATATTCAAAACATTAAAATCAACCAAACTAAAGTTTTAAAAAAATGAGCACAAAGGAATGAACCAGCAATAATAACACGACTAAAATGATACATGAAATGCTGTTGAAATTGGATTTTTGTCAGCATCTAGCTGCATGTAACGCAGCTAAAAGACTATTAAGGCTTAAAAGTTCCTGTCTTCAGTCTACCTGCTGTTCAGTCTGTGTGCATGTTATTTGGGTTTTTTTGTTTCCTGGTTTTTCTCCAACGGTGCACAAAGATGCAGGGCTGGATTGATCAGACTTTAAATTGACCAGAATTTGACAGTTTTATTGTGTGTTGTGAATCGTCTCTCTGTGTGGTCCTGTAAAGGTGGTGAAGAAGTAGAATATTGTACAAGCAGCTTAAAGTTCAAAACACCAAAAAAGTGTTTGGATTTTGTAAAAAAAAAGACAGAAAAGTCAATCCCACATAGATGAAACTGAGGACAGGGCTAGAGCTGTTGAAGAAAACTCCAAATGTGCCTTGTTGTTTTTGATAAATCTGCATGTCATCAGCGTAGTGTTGAGTTTTGTAAATGTAATATTCAGAGATGTATATCTGAGATAATAGATTTTCTACTATTATTTCTTCTACTATTGGCTGAATTGAAGTCACAGTATATAAAAAATAAACCACTGTAAAGTAACTCAATTTTAGACAGATAAAGAAGAAATGACATCAATCAGAACTCCAAATATTAACCACAAACATATAAATCTGGCATAAACGTTGGAAAGAAAAACAAAATGCTAACACTAGCTATGAGATAAATAAAGGAAAGAAACACTCAAAGCTAACATTTATCAAACCTAAAAGTACATAATAATTGCTCATTTTAGCTATAGTACATTTTAAGATATTTTTTAATTAAAAGAGCAATGAACATAAAAATAGATCATGTTTAGCTGAAAGTGTGTTGTTAATGTTTTAGTTGTAGGTCAAACAGACACAATGTTGTGACATAGAAATTGGCCATTAATGATGATTGAAATTACAAAAAAATAAATTGACAAAGATCAAAATTAGCCTTGAGAGGAAAAAAAAACTACGCAGAAATACAAAGTGTTCCAAAAGGAAATTAAAACTAAAAACACCTGATACAGTCTAAAAATAATAAACATTCATCCAAAATATACAAATAGATTACACACACACACACACACACACACACACATATATATATATATATTTAAAACATTTTCGGACTACCCCACAGTTAGACAAATCAGTGGCTGTGGATTTCCACACACAGGTGCACATGCATGTGTGTGTCAGTGTGTGTGTGTCAGTGTGTGTGTGTGTCAGTGTGTGTGTGTCAGTGTGTGTCAGTGTGTGTGTGTGTGTGTGCACAGACAGACCCTTCATCTTTTCTCTCAGCAGCATCAATAAACGATTGCTGCTCTCTTTCTCTCTCCCTCTCTGATTAAATATTCATCACAGTGCTGCCTGTCTCACTGCCTGTCTCACTGCCCGTCTCACTGCCCGTCTCACTGCCTGTCTCACTGCCCGTCTCTCTGCCTGTCTCACTGCCCGTCTCTCTGCCTGTCTCACTGCCCGTCTCTCTGCCTGTCTCACTGCCCGTCTCACGGCCCGTCTCACTGCCCGTCTCACTGCCTGTCTCACTGCCCATCTCTCTGCCTGTCTCACTGCCTGTCTCACTGCCCGTCTCTCTGCCCGTCTCACTGCCCGTCTCACTGCCTGTCTCACTTGCTGAAGAGGCCCTGAGCCTTATTACCAATTCAGTTCGTGGTCCTTTTAAGGCATGAGCGCTCTGCAAACTGACGCATACACAAACTAAATTGTTTCTGCAAAAAATAAAAAAAAAGAGAAATAAATCAGTTACACACTCACACAGAAAAGATGACAAACGTGTGGTGGTGGAAAGGAGGAGAAAGTTTCAATGCTAACACGCTTAAATGTTAAATGATGTTAAATGATTTTAAAAAAATGATTTTAAACATTTTAAAAATTTAAAATGTTAAATGTTAAATGATCGATCTGTAGAAGAATTCTGAAAGTTTTTTGCTGCTAAATGTCTAAAAAAAACAGTCTGTAAACAGAAGAACAGGATTATTGGAGAAATCTTTACTTTTGGACACTTAAATTATAGTCACGTTTTTTTATCATTTTAAATATACTGAGGGACAGTGAGAAAAGTATGTGAGAAGAAACACACACTCACATAACACTGGCAATCTGTGTGTGTGTGTGTGTGTGTGTGTGTTTGTGAAAGAGAGAGAGAGCAGGATATTAGAGCGCCTCATTATTCGAACACAGCACTCGCCTCGTTTATGCCTCGACAAAGACGAGGAGGAGGAGGAAGAGGAGGAGGAGGCTCTCCACCTGATCTGTCACTTCCTCCTTCTTCTCCTCATTCTGTCATTCTCCTTGTCTGCCCCCCCCCACACCTACGCGTCTCCTTCCTCCTTTCTATTTCTTCATGTTTTTCTTCTCTCCGCCCATCGTTCTCCGCCTTTCTCTCATCCGTCACCTGGGCCCCTCTTCACCACTCCCTCCTCCTCCTCCTCCTCCACCCCCTCCTCCTGCTCCCCCTCCTCCTCCTCCACCTCCTCCTCCTCCTCCTCCTCCCTGCTGCTTTCCCCTACTCTTCAGAATTACATCCTCGGTGCTGCTTCTTTTTTCATCCTGTTGCTGGAGGCTGTCGACAGGGAGCGTGGAGGGGAAGATCGGCAATTTCCCACCATGTATTACACACACACACACACACACACACACACACAGTAAATACTGCGCATGTTGATGAGAAAATGTTCTAAAAAAAAAGGTCTACATTTTTGTGACGTTCATGGTTGGAGTTTCTGCGTCTTTGGCCTCACTCAGCCGACCGTCCTTCTCCGTTTCTAATCTGGTGACAGAATCGTTTTCCAGCATCATTTAAGCTCCTGTCCAACAGCAGAGGTTAGAAAGTTTCAGAGGAACCAAAACATAAGTTCCAGACTCGTACCTTTGGGCTGAACGTCCCGACATTCTTATCCTGCTGAAAATCAAACCCCTGACCTTTTGTTTTGAAGACAGTCCCCTCTTCCCAATGAACACTTGTTTTCCCAGACAGTTTGGACTCGAACCCCAATCAGTTTGACTAACAGTGGTTTGACGCTCTCGCCACTACATCGTTAGAAGGGACAGAGTCACAGAGAGCCATAGCCGACAGACACATTTAGACACCTCTGTAATCGAACCCCTGACCTTTTATTGAAATATGATATTCTTTATTTACTGAAGTGGAAGGGAATTAGAAGTGGCACTGGTGACTGGTGGATTAATGAGCAACACTAGGATTTGAACCCCAGACCTTTAAGGTGGAAGATGTCCTCCCCCACACATCCATCATTGCTTGTCTTTTAAAGGACAGAGACATTTTGGACAGACCCAAGGCCAGGGTCTGTTGAGTGTCTTTCTGTAGGAAAAACCATCACGGTCAGTGTCACTCCACGACAGCTTATAGGACCAGGATTTAACCACGGACCAGAACCACACAGAGCTCTGGACTGGTTTGTTAAGAACCTGTAAACGGCTCCCTGTTCCACTCCACCAAAGGTGCATCTGCTCTGCTGCTGCCCCCAGTGGTCAGTTCATGTCACTCATAAAAACCACAATGAAGGTTTCTCGTCTCTGCCCACCAAGAGTCGTCACACCTCGTAACCATGGATACCACTCAGAACAAGGGATGAATAATCCAAGCTGGAGAACTGAGCACGACGGAAATGACGTCTGACAGGAGTGACAACAAGAGCAAAGACAGTGGCTTCATGGGGGAATGATGTGTTCAACTTCACAGTTAAAACACAGAGAGAGAGAGGGAGAGAAAATCACTACTCTCTCTCTCTCTCTCTCTCTTTGTATGTATGTGTGTGTGTCTGTTAATTAATCTGCTCTAACCTTGTCAGGCACTAATTGGCACCATGACACACACACGCGCACACTCAGACAGCAGAGTCTGATGTAGCAACACTGCCCCCTGCTGCTCGATCTTATTATCCAACGGAAACTGGCTTGTCAGACAGTCTCCAGTACAAAAGTCCGTAGAGAAAAGCTGTAATATTAGCTCACAGTGACACAGAGGGGAATCCCATTGGTTGTTACCTAAAGAAATACAAAACTCCTACCTTAGCCATTAAAACCTTTTTAATTTTTTTTAATTTTTTTTTTGAGTCTCAAACAGAATAATACAAGATGGTGATGGTTGCAGCAGGGAATCAACAACTGTTGAATCCACGTGAACTCAAAGTTAAAAATATTCTCCTTGGACTTTGGTTTTGTAGAAAATCCTTCACAGACGTCAGTTTCATACTGTGTGCAAAATGATGATAAACGGCGGAGCTGTAGTTGCGGTCTGTGACCAAAAGATGGCAGTAAAAATAAAAATGTGTTGAATGGACTCAGTTGTTGTGGAGTGAGAGTTCAGACCGGGGGCAGAGGGAGAGGGGAGACACAGATGGAGTCATGGGACTGTGTTTGTTCGTCCTGAGATATGTGAGTCATGAGACATGAGGAGAGGATCAGGAGGACGAGCAGCAGAAGAGGACAGAGGGACAAAGATGGTGGACATGTCCAGGTGGGTGAGGAGGTGCTGCTGCTGCTGCTGCTGCTGCTGTGAGAGGGAGGAGGAGAGGGAGACAGAAGGCAGGAGTGAAGATGACGAGGAGGAGGAAGAGGTGAAGCTGCAGGACCTGATCTTTAGGAAGAGTAACAGTTCGTCTTCGTTGACTTCTCCTAAGGTACGAACTCTTTACATTTCTTCTTTTGTTCATTACTAGTGTGTTACACATTGTTGAGGTAGTATTACTGTACAACTGCCATTTCAGTATTTAAGGTGGTATTTTTTTTAAGTGTTAAAATGTTGTAAAACCTCACGTTGGTATTGTTCTGAAACAAGCATGAGCAAACTATGGCCCGGGGGCTTCATGCTGCCCTTAGGACCCCCTAACTTGGCCCTTCAAACTTTGATGCTCTGGGAAAACAGTGGGGACAACAGCACTGATCTCACTAGAATTAAATGTCAGGGGTTGTTTGTTTGATGTCTTTTAGACTATTTCAGGTTTTTAGGTACATTTTATTCACATGTTCACACAGTCATTCTTGATCCATCTGATACTGAGTCGACAAAAACTGAACTTGTGGCCTGTGAGCCAAAAAGTTTTACCAAACCCTGCTCTGGCAGCAGAATTAATATATATATATATTTATTTAAAGGTGGTATTATATCCACTCTTCTTCAGTCCACGTAATCCATGTTTTAAGGTGGTACTATTTTGTAACTTAGAAATATATGATATATGTGATATAATAATATAAATTTATGTATATAGGTATGTATATATATACATATATATAAATATATATATATACATATAAAATCTAGAGTTTGTAGAGGAAGTCCCAGGTATTTTTAAGGCGTTTACCTGCTTTGATTTCCTGTATTTGACTTTTTCAAAGTTGGACCTGAGCTTATCCAGGTCTGCGCCTCAGACACAGTGGTTCCACACTCTCCAGGTGAGACACGTGCGTGTCCGCAGAGAACGAAGCAACAGTGACCCCCTGGGCGGGTGGGGCAATGGGGAAGAAGAGGAGAATCATCACAGATGGGTGAGGATGGACGGATGTTTGACATGTGAATAAATAAATGTTGGACATGGAATCACCTCGGCCTTCGTGGCTCTCCAGAAATCAGGCCTGAGGTTCGGAGCAGCTCATTCCTACCTGAGTCTGGAGAAGCTGGGAGAAGGAGCCTATGCTAGTGTCTACAAAGGCATCAGCAGGTATTACTACTGTGGTTCAAGAGGAGCGCTATGAACTGTACTCTGTCACTACTGCAGTACAAGCTCTTAACAATATTGTCTGCATCATTTTGCGGAGGATAAACGGCCAGCTGGTGGCGCTGAAGGTGATTCGTATGAAGACAGAGGAAGGAGTTCCCTTCACTGCCATCAGAGAAGGTAAAACAATAAAAAAAAAACTTTAAGCACGTGCATGCAACTGCTGGAGTTAGTACCAAACACAATGAGAATGAGATCAACTCCAAGACTGTGAGTATTTCAACAGCAGAGCCAGTCATTCTAAATCCTTGTGTGTTTGCAGCATCTCTGCTCAAAGGTCTGAAACATGCAAACGTGGTCCTTCTTCATGACATCATTCACAACTCAGAGACCCTGACGCTGGTCTTTGAATATGTGGTCAGATGTTCACACCAGTCAGAACCTAAACAAACAAACAAACAAATGAGATGGGAATTGTGAATCTGAAGCCATGTTCTTCTTCTTCTTCTTCTTGTGCAGCAGACAGATCTGTCTCAGTACATGCACCAACATCCTGGAGGTCTTCACTCACACAACGTCAGAGTATGGCAACAAAACCATGGCTCACTTTGGTCTCCAGACAGACTTTACCAGAATATATAATTGACGATGTGTCCGTGTGTCCGTGTGTGTGTGTGTTCGTGTTCCCAGATCTTCATGTTCCAGTTGCTGCGTGGCCTCACTTTTATCCACAGTCGCAAGATCCTACACCGAGACCTCAAACCCCAGAACCTGCTCATCAGTTACCTAGGAGAACTCAAACTGGCCGACTTTGGTAAAGAGCTCCGCTCCACTGACCAGGTCCACTCCACTTTCCTGTACATGATTGGCTCCTCTGTTCTGGTTTAGGCCTGGCTCGGTCTAAGTCCATCCCCAGTCAGACATTCTCTGCCGACGTAGTGACTCTTTGGTACCGACCCCCTGACGTTCTGCTGGGATCCACAGAATACTCCACTGCGCTGGACATGTGGTGGGTACTGATCATGGGCCTAACTCCGTGTCATGAAAGTCGTGATTGACTGAATTCAGTTTTCTGTAAGGGGGGCAGGCTGTATCTTTATTGAGATGCTGCAGGGGGCGCCAGCGTTCCCTGGTGTCACTGATGTCTTTGACCAACTGCAGAAGATATGGATGGTCCTGGGTGTCCCCTCTGAGAGCTCATGGCCCGGGGTGACTTCACTTGCAAACTACAGGCCAGGTGAGAAAACATTACAACATAAATCCCCCCCCCCCCAAAAAAAACAAAAACAAGAATGATTTCTTTATTTTTATTATTAATTAATCTTTTGTTTTCCTTTGTAGAAAAGTTCTATCACTCTGAGCCAAAACAGTTCAGAACTGTTTGGAAAAGGTAAGTCAACAGGTAGTTAGCTTAATGTTAGCTATAAAGGTTATTTTTAGGTCACTTTGTTAAAAATATTTAGCTATGTCTGCAAACTGTTGAAATATTTTAAAAAAAAATTCCTGGTATGTCTTCATCTAAATGTAATATTTACTAATTTTACTCCACCGTTTGTAAAGCTAGGCTCTACATTTGCCATATTTTTGCCAATTTTTAGCCACTTTGCCTCAAACTTTCAGCATTTGGATATGTAATAAAAGTTAAGTTCATTATCTTTTAACTAAATAACTTAATGTTAATAACCCCTACCGGTTTAGAAGTCCATCATTAATGGGTTGTTTAAAAAATATATCATGTTTCCCAATACATGTATTATTATTATTATTATTATTTTAAACTCCCATGTTGTTTGTCTAACTTTCATCTATTTCTCTGTATTCACAGTTAAAAACAAACTCCTGGACATAAGAGAACAATGATAAATACATATCACGCTAGCCATTTTAGCACATGCTAATAGTAGCTCTGCTTAAGATACTGCAAAAATAGCTTTCTAAATGTGTAGTTTATCTGGAATAGATTGAATCAGCTCCCAATCAAGACCGAGGGCCTGGTCCAGAGACTGCTGATGTTGGTTCCCTCAGAGCGGATCTCGGCCCAGGAAGCTCTGCAGCACCCGTACTTTAACACACTCCCAACTCCCATCATGCACCTGAATGACAGTAAGTTAAAGTTACTGTAAGAGTGATTTGGAGGTAATATTACAGTAGCAGCCTAATGATACATGTTGATTGTTTTACTGCTCTAACTGATATATTTGGTTGAGGTATTTAAGTATTTGTGTGTACAGTAACCAGTGACATTTTTAGGTCAGCAAGTTGGTGACAAAGAAACCTGGTTCTTCTCTTACAGTGGTCTCCATCTTCAAAGTTCCCGGTGTTTATCTGGAGACAGAGATCAGAGATGTTCTCAACTCGGGACATAAGGTCAAACCGTCTCTGTTGACTGCTGCCACCTGCTGGTGACCACCACCAGCAACGCCTCCTAGGACAACCAAAGATTATTTATACAGTAAAAGGATAAAACTGTCAACGTCGACCTCAGATATATAAATCTTATTGTACTATTTATGGTGAATCTTGAGAATTATATCTTAAATGTTTTAGGTTTGTTTTTAAGTTATTTTAAAGGAATTAAGAGGTTAATCTTTAATATTTAATCTAACTAATTTTTACAAGAAATACAGGACAGGGTTCATCCTGGACAACTCAGCAGTCTGGCACAGATAAAGCTGCTGTAAAAAGCTCATAGTTCAGTGACAGACTTAGAAGTAAAATGAATTGAAGCCTACACAATCTGAGAAAACTCCCTCAAGAACTTGGAGAACAAACGATCTCTAACCACCGAGTACTAACCATTCTACCACCATTTGAAAACTCTGATTTACTGTTCCACCCAGTGTTGACCTCGAAAAGGGTTTAGTTTGGTGACAGGTCGATAACAGAACAAACAGCTGAGGTTCAGCCACAACATTTCTGTTTCTGTTGGTAACATGAAAACATGACCTTAGCTAACCTTTTCTCATGGACTGTTAAGAACAGTCAATAATAAACGGTATTTGAACAGTTCAGGAAACGACCAGACACACTTTGATGATCCTTCCTTTTACAGACACAGTGGAGAGACTCTTCTTTAAAAACCTGTGATCATGACTCAACACACCATAGTCAGTGTATTCAGAGGTAGCAAAAGCTGGTGTTTGCTGATGTTAAATAAGAAATAAGTATTAGATAAATAATATAATACTTTTCTTTTAGTAAATGTATTCACTTGGTACATTTGACTCATTTAGGCTTTATTTAATTATAATATTTGCCATTTTACTTAACTAAGCTTTTTTGTACTTTCAGCTACTTATGTCACAACCTGGTTTTTGACTACTTATCAATAAATGTATAATCTCATATGATTTTTGGAATATCTGTGTTTTCGTATAAATAATTATTTTTGGCTAACTTGCCTATATCTGAGCAGACTGTTGGTTATCTTTTAACAGTTTTCTGTTTATTTGTTGGCTAACTTTTATTGTACCTGTTTGGCTTAAGTTTTATCCAAACCTCAAATTATTAATTTGCAAGTCTTATGGGACGAGTAAGTCTCGTGTATGGTCGAAGTCGAGTCACCTATTATTATTGTTATTATTATTGTTGTTGTTGTTGTTGTTATTTATTGTAAGATCAATACAGTACTCCGTTGTATTTTGATAACAGTGAAGGAAATCAAAAGACGCGTTTTCTAGCTTTTATTTTGAAATCCTTCTCGGACGCAGAATGACTCCTCTTAACTTCCTGTATGGCAGCTGTAGTATCGAGGCTAAGATGCTAATAAGCTCAAAGCTTAGGGTGTGTTGTGTGTTGCGATGGAGACAAAAGCACGATTTTAAGTCGCACTTTAACGTTAAACATTACCATGGCAATATGTCATTAGAAAATTATTCCCCATAAAGATATAGGTTAAGTGATAGCAGCCGCTGTGCTATCAGTTGCTAATTTTAGCACTAACAGCTGTCAACAGTGGATCCCTGCGTCTGTTTCTGTCTGTCAGCTGAGCATTGTTTTTATTATTATTCCGAAACACCTAAATATTCAGATGGAGACAGGTGCACCGAAAAGACGGGAAAATAAAAAGTCACTTCGCGTTAAAGTAATCAGTCTCGGGAATGCAGAGGTGGGAAAGGTAAGACGACGGCGGGTTATTTTATACTAAAACTTGAGTCTGGTGCAGTTGATGTGGTGCAGAGCTCAAAGAAACCTTAAAATGATCTCATCTGTTAAAGATGATCATCAAAAAGTTGAAAATAACGCCTGTACGTTATTATGTTCTTTCCATTATGCCAGACACCCTTAAAATATCGATCCTTTTCAATGCAACATCGCTAACAGCAGCACAACACGAAACCGTGGTTCTCAAACACAATTACCTTCCCATTAAATCATCGTTGCTCTACCTAATGAAATAAAGCAATTTCCATTGTATTATTACTTTAAATCACAGTAGGGCGCGAAGCTGTGTCGCAGAGTTGCAGCAATGTAATTGTGTCAACAAAGAGATGAACAACTTGGAGTATCAGCTGCAGAAAATCTATAATTATTCTTTGTTATTGTTATTCATTAACATATTTTGGAATTAAACAATATTCTTTTGAATACTTACAAGACACTATCCTTTTGCTACACATGACTATTTTGGAATTAAAAAATCTATTTAAAATCATTTAATAGTGATTATTAAACAGTTTTTCGTCCACAGAGTTGCATCATCAAACGTTACTGTGAGAAGAGGTTTGTTCCCAAATATTTGGCCACGATTGGTATCGACTATGGCGTCACCAAGTGAGTTGACTCCCTGTCCTGTGTGAACCTCCCTGTCTGTATTGACAGAGAGAGGGACGTTAACAAGCGTGTGTGTCCTTGTGAATCCAGGGTCCAGGTCCGAGACAGAGAAATAAAAGTGAACATCTTCGACATGGCAGGACATCCATTTTTCTATGAAGTGAGTTTATTATGTACCAACCTAGATATGCTCCTATTATCAGCACCAACGTTTTCCATCGACCTGTTAAAATGTCTGCTTCTTGCTCCAGTTACGGCCCTTGGACCTGATAGAATATAAACTGCCTTTGTGGCCTGACATCATGGTGAAACTAAGTTTGTTATTTATAATAAAAGCTGCTCCGTTCAGCTGTATAGCAGTGTGTTATATCAAAGTGTCTCTGACTGTTGTAGACACAGCCAGAACCGCCCCACCGTTAGCCTTACTGGTATAAATATAATTCATTTTAGTGAACGTTTATGTTTTTTTCTGAGACGTTTTATTTAATTAATTTAAATTTTTCTACTCGTAAATGAAGTTTTAAGTTATACTTCAGCTAACTCTTGGCTAATTTTAAGCTTTTTTAAAATAAATTTGAATTTTTTCTTTATTAACATTTAGGAATTGTGGAATTCATTTGTTTTTCAGCAAACTGTTGCATTCAGTTACCTGTGATCTGAACCTGTTTTTCTCTTGATTTCAAACACACAGGTACGTAATGAATTCTATAAAGACAGTCAGGGCGTCCTGCTGGTCTATGACGTGGGTCTCAGGGAGAGTTTTGACGCTCTGGACAGTTGGTTGGGTGAGATGAAACAGGAAATGGGTTCTCAGGCCAACATGGACAGCATCGTCTTTGTTGTCTGCGCCAACAAGGTCCCGAGAAATTCCCATAGAAACCTTTATTTTTGTAGAATAAACCACAGAGTCTGAGTGAAACCGTTTTCTATCCACAGGTCGACCTGACCAAGAGACGGGTGGTGGACGAGGGTGAGGGACGTCTGTGGGCCGAGTCCAGAGGCTTTCACTACTTTGAGACATCGGCACAGAGTGGAGAAGGGATCAACGAAATGTTCCAGGTGGGAAAATGTATTAACATTTTATCACTATTTTAATTACATTTAAACATGTTGTATCCACTCATGATGTCAATGTCAATCAAAACAATTCACTCCACAAAAGGGAAAAACCTTTGGGTGTTTCTGCCATGGAACCAATAACTATAGCAAAAACTACAAACAAATTTAGAATAAAAGTTTGTTTTCAAGACAGTTAATACATGTCTCCACATAACATAAATACCACCAGTAACAGCGGCCCTGTGTGTGTGTGTGTGTGTGTGTGTGTGTCAGGCCTTTTTCTCCTCCATCACTGACATGTGTGAAAACGGAGGCAAACGTCCTGTTAGTGAAGTGAGTGTTGGCTTCACCAAGGAACAGGCCGACACAATCAGACGCATCCGCAACAGCAAAGACTCATGGGATATGCTGGGTGTCAAACCTGGAGCCACACGGTCAGTGATTTCTTCTTTCTTTTTTTTCCCACCTCTCTTTTTCTCTGTCTGTGTCTAAAGTTGTTCTTTTTTCCAGGGAGGAAGTGAACAAAGCTTACCGTAAACTGGCTGTTCTACTGCATCCAGACAAATGTGTGGCCCCCGGCAGCGAGGACGCCTTCAAAGCTGTGGTCAACGCTCGCACATCGCTGCTCAAGAACATCAAGTAAAGTACATACACGTGTAAACGCACGCGCACACACACAAAATGTGGGCATTCACAGAGGAGCTGCATGAACAATATTTATATTTAATATTTAATATTTATTGATGGTCTGTGTGTTGTTTCACTGCTGGAAATGTTTGTGCATAAATGGTGGATAAAATGTGTCGCTTTAAAAAAATAAACACACAGTTAACACACATTTTACTGTAAAAAAACAAACAAAACAAAAACACTGCTCTGGTCATATATATATATAACAATATACAAAAGTTAAACAGTGCCATGTCCCAGAGACAATTCAAAAGAATTAATTCACATTTTTGTCTGTTTAAAGTAAATTTCCCTCTGGTTTGAGTGAATGAAGAGAATGAGATTTGTTAATACACTTCAGTTGAATCAACTGTATTTTATGGAGGATAAAAAGTGCCACTACTACTAGCATAATGTTCACTGCAGGCTTTTCAACTTTAAGGCTGAGAGTCTATGCAGGATTAGACGTGTCACATGACAGAGCAGTAAAAACTAGTTAAAAAAGTTAAAGATATTTCTATTTAAGTCATTCAAAGCATAAAACGTTGAGCTATTAAATAGAATGAAAAATGTATAAAACGTCAATATAAGTTAATAATATAAAAATTCAAAAAATACACTCAAATTTAGAAACAAATGTATTTCCATCAAATGGAAATGTAGGAAACTTGTGTAAAACTGGACTGAAGTTGGACTGAATTCATCTTCATGAAATGAGTCTAATCGGTTTCTAGGTATGAAACCCTTTCTGATTAAAAAATAAATAAAAATACAAAGAAACTGACAGACAATAAAATTCCAACAATATAAACATTGTTTACATGGGGTTAAATGTGAGGGTCCATGTGTCAAAGTTTGTCTGAACTGAACTGTAATTTAACCTATTTTTTAAATTAACTAAAGAGTTCTTCATCCAAACAAGAAATGTAAACGTTTACAAAACTAGTTGAAACTATTTATACAAAAAGTATAAAAAAAATCTCCAGTTTGTCATGAAAAAGATTAGAATAATCTTTAAATAAACTTTTGTAGTAACATTTTTCTCTCTTTAATGAAAATCTGCCAATCATTGTCCTGTCTGCTGGTTGCTGGACGCAGGAGCCAATCATTCAGTGTCGTTTACACAGGTGGGGGGCGGGGCAGTGGTCTGTCCCTGACAAGCATTTGATTGACATTTTTTACACATGGGTCATGTGACCCTCAGCTGCTCCGACATCTGTGTCAGACCACAGAGATCTTTTTGATCTCTATTGTTCTTCTGTTTGTTTCTTTTTTTTTCATCTTATTCTTTCCTCTTTCATTTTCAACTGTTTGTTTTATATATTTTTCAGTCTTATTATTCAGGAACTTAATCTTTTTCACTACGGTTTAAATTAAAAATAGAATTGGAATTTTCTTTGTTTTTAATTCAAGCCAAACAAACAGATGATGCAGATGTTTGTGGCTCTGTCACGGTTCTCCTTCCACTTAACCGGTTTTTAGTCACATCATCTTGTGATGACAGAGTTGTGATCTTAGTGTCAGGTGACATCCTTCAGAAGAAGAAAGAAAACATGTGGGTCTTTAAGTGGAATGTACTGTTGTTTGCTGTTGTCTATTGTGTACTGTCTCTGTTTCTGCATGTTCAAAAAAAATGTAAAATTAAAGTCTTACGGATTTTTGGACATTCATTTATTTATTTGACTACATCCAAATGTAAACGCGACGTTGTTTGAAAAATGATTTGTTCTTAGAAGCACTAGATTTAATGCATTGGTCTCTGAAATATGTGAAGGTTCCAGAGGATTCCATGAAGCTGCTGTGAAATCCCTGATTTTCTCTGTCAGACGTTTTTGGTCTGGGAGATATTTCCCTGTGGTACCGATTTACAGAGTGGGGACGTATCATTTATTGACAAATGTTTAGTCATTCCTTAACGTCTTCCTCCTTTATTGATTAGTTAGAATGTGTTACTAAGTGACTTCACTGTTTCAAATCATTTGAACAGATTAACTTTATTGGAAAAGTGGAACAGCGCCTCTGATGTCACACTAAATCACTCATTTTCTTAATGCAGTTTTGAATAGGAAATTATATACAAGCAAACTGTCTTTCAAAGAAGGACATGATTTACGTCTTCTGTAGAGAGTGTTTAAATGACTGTGAAGACAATGAGGCGACCACGTCGGCAGCTGCTGGTCACATTCATCGTAGTGATTAGTGATTAACTTGCCTACTGTGAGGGGTCATGAACGCACTTTTATGGTCCCTTGTGTGTTGACACACATTGGGATTAACAAAGTCACATGACGTAGCTTCCCTGAAGGGACAGTGTTTGATCCTGAACAAACCTGAAAATCCAAACGTGTTTGTTGTTGTTTTTTACTAAGAAACGTTCACGTAACATCATCTTAGATGCTATCACAGGTATGTTGTTTTTTTACACACTTTTCTGACCTTTGACCCCCTTCTGTGAATTACTAGACTGATAAGCGGTCAAAGGTCATGATCATAAAATTCACTTGATTTTTTAGAGAAAAGAGAGAGAGAGCAGAATAGAGAGATATCAGACGAGAGAATGAATCAAACCTTATTAATAAAACCACCAAAAAGTCAGGTTAACAGAATATGGAAGATTTATCAGTTCTTTAGTGAAAGTCCAGAACCTGGACTCATCTGATCAGGTTCTGCTCTGTTCTATGGCTGTGGAGGGGGAGGGGCCATTGTCCAGGCCACACCTCCTCCCAGCCCTTTGGCCTCCCCCCTGTAAAGACAAACCTTGAAGCCTAGGAAGGATCAATCAAGTTGCAGAACCTGGAAAGTAGACTCAGCACCGACATGAACGGGACCGAAGCTGAATCAGAGACCTGTTCCAGGTCCAACTCCGATCCTCTGGTCTTTTTTGTCAACGGCAAAAAGGTAAAAAAAAAAAAAAAATCTTGACAGTTTGCTTTAAATTACAGTTTTTGTATGTGAATATAACCAGTGATGTTGCTGTGACGATCACATGACATTTTTTTTAAAATTGGTTTATTATTTCATTTAAAAAATGGTCATGTGAATATTAACATCAATATCAAAGTACATTTTTTATGTTGTTTAAAAATGATGGTGAATGATGAAGTAAAAAAAGTGAAATAGTCACACGTAAACACAATTACTGAATAAAAATAAAAATAATTTCTTTAGCGGTGGTTTGCATGTGTTAACGGCTAATCGCTAATAAAATGTGTTTTTAAGAACTCAGTCATAATCATACAATCATACTGAACAGTTAACCAGAGGCAAACTGCTAACCATGTTAGAACACACCATTGGTTGATGCTCCTACAGGCGCATGGAAGCAGCTAAAGGTCAGAAACAGGAGAACCTCGGAAATCCATACAGAAGAACAGATTTGAAAAGTTGGATTTATTGTCAAAACATATTTGACTGTGTCTGTGTGTTTTCTTTTGCTTTATGTCAGATTGTGGAGCAAAATGCCGATCCAGAGATGACACTGCTGACCTATCTGAGGAGGAAATGTAGGGCAACACACAGAAACACACACTCGTAGACACACACACACACACACACACACACAGTTGCAGCTGTTTTAACCGATCATTAAGTGGGTGTGACTTCCATATCATATCGTTAGGATTCAGTTTTTTTTCTTTTTCACTGAACTTGACTCATAGAGTTTCTAATCAGTACATTACAGGAACAGAGAGACAAACAGCAGCTGATACACACCTGTTTTATTTAATGGAAATATTAAGATGGAAAAATGTCCCAAACGATTGTGCAAATGTATTACCCAATACACAAACTCAGATTTTTAAGCTCCAGCAGTGTGTGTGTGTGTGTGTGAATAATTATGGGATATAAAGCACGTGTAGTTCTGCCCAGCTGAAGATCCAAGTCTCTGCGGTGGCAGTCTGTCTTGTCAGGGTTCTCCAGGAGGGGGACACAGTTGCACTTTTTGGATCCCTTTTTCTCTGACCGTATTAGTCCAACAGCACAATATCTGACTCACTTCCCTCCCAGAATGACTAACTCCTTTTCACAGTCATGTGGGAAATTAGTTCAACACATTTGCTGACACATTTGAGTAAAGGTTTGTCACAGCACTGACCAGACAGACATCAAATTAGGAAAACACCCCAAAATAACTGCCTTCAAAATAAAAGCCATGCAGTCTTCATGTACCTATGAAGCTGTATTGGGATTTTTAAATAAAATAAATACTGTTTAATATCCACATGTCAATGGATTTGTGTCGGTCAGTCAGTACAGGTCACAGTGTGTACTGAACCACGTTTTTTTTTTCCAGTGGGATTAACAGGAACCAAACTGGGATGTGCTGAAGGAGGCTGTGGAGCCTGTACGGTCATGCTGTCTCAATACCACAAACTGACAGGACAGCTCCAGTATCCTCACTCTGTTTGAACAAAAGGTTGGCTGAGAGATATCTAGACAGGTGATTCAAATAACTGTCAGTCTAATAATATTAAACAGACAAAAATCAAAACTTTATCAAAACATCTGCAATTTCCCAGCCTGGGATCAACAAAGTACATCTATCTATCTATCTGAAGATTAAAAACCACTGTAATATAAAAATATTATTATTTAGTAAAAAATAATACCGACACATTTTCAACAAATGTTTAGAAAAACCAAAACAAGTAACAGGTAAATTTAAAATATACTGAAACTACTTAAGCAAGGAATGATGTTTGTTTTAGCTAAGATAAAAACTGTCTTTCCTTATTTCTCATCTGTCTTTCCTTATTTTTATTTGATAAAAACATCAGATTCTTTTTTAACATTTCATACTGACCTTTGACACTTTGGTTTAGTTCAAACAAAGCTTTTCTTAAAAAAACAAAAAACAAAAACAATGTTAAATTAATAAAATAAAAATAAGGAAAGACAGATAAGGAAACGATCACTGTACATTATCTACATTAGCTAAGAAATAGGTAAGTCTTTAAAAGCTAGCTAACAATTGGGCTAAATAAGCTGTGGGTTTAACAAATTAAAAAGAGCTGAAGGCGTGTACCAATAAAAGCTGAAAAAGATATACAGCAAGCTTAATAAGCTTAATAAAAGCTTGTGAACATGACTAACAACTGAACCAACTGGTGCTAAAGTCCTTAGCGTCGCTCACAGACACTATGCCATCAATGCTTGTCTGGCACCGATCTGTTCCCTGCACCTGGTTGCAGTCACCACTGTGGAAGGAATTGGCAGTGTGGCCCGTAAACTACATCCTGTCCAGGTAAATATACTTCATATTTGGGTAAATTTACTACCTGTTTAGATACATCTACTTCCTGTCTTGGTGTATTTACTCAACTTTCTTCGTTTGAAAAAATACATAAAAGTAAATGTTTTTCCTGTCAAAGAAACCTTAAAACCTGTGAAAGGAGTCACACCAGCTCCAAGTTAAATCACATGTATCCTGTCCAGGATCTGATTGGGTAAACCATTATTTTGTTGAGATAGGCTAAAATTACTTCCTCAGAGAGAAAGGAAACGTGTTCTGCTTCTCTATAAAAAGATACTCTCTATTTTGGTTAAACCACACTGTCTACAGGTAACAGAGAATACTGTCAAAGTAAAACCATGTTTTGATCGCATTCAATTTGTTCCAGTCTGGATAAAACCACTTCCTGTTTTGGTTTCAGGAGAGAATCGCCAAAGCTCATGGTTCTCAGTGTGGGTTCTGTACCCCAGGGATTGTCATGTCGATGTACGCTCTACTGAGGAACAACGTCATTCCAAAGATGTCAGATGTAGAGGAGGCCTTTCAAGGTAAAACTGTGTTAGGAAGGAAGGAAGGAAAGGAAGGAAAGTGAACTCCTTGTCATGTGACCTGCATTTAAAGAGATAAGAGGATGTGTAGCATGTCAGTTTGTTTGCTTTTGGTTTGTTTATAGGAAACTTGTGTCGATGCACTGGCTACAGACCAATTCTGGAGGCGTACAAGACCTTTACTGTGGTGAGACAAAAAACTTCAATCATAAGTTAGCCTAAAACCATAGCACACGTAGTCACAGGTAAACATACATAGCTCTGGAATAGCAAAACCTTGCTAAACACCCTAGCATCAGCCCTGACATACTGCAGTTAATTGTTTGCCGAAAGCTTGTCTTAAAAATAAGTTAGTCCACCTAAAAACAGCTAAAGATTAAAAAAACTGCGACAGCTTAGAGAAAAGTAATAATGTAGAAGATTTAAAAATTTAAAGCATTGAAAAATATATTTTCATTGATGAAGTTGCCTGATGTATTACCACCTCCATCAGGAGGGGGCAGGCTGCTGTGGGGGTAAAGGGCGGCAAAATGGCTGCTGCAAGAACGGAGGTAACGGGGTAGAGGAAGATACCAACGTAAGTCCAACTCTGACAATCTGGGTTATTTTCAACAGTATTCATTTCAGATGTTTTTGATTGTGAATGTTTTTGTGCAGGAATCCACATCTTTATTCAATGCTGGAGAGTTTGCACCCTTGGATCCAACGCAGGAAGTGATATTTCCTCCAGAACTAGTGGTATATATATATATATATATATATTCTCATTAATATTATAGAAAAGTCATCACAGGAGTTTTTTTTAACCAAGTTCCTCAGTTTAAGAAATAGTAGCAAGAAAAGAATCATGTCCTAAATTTTGGCCGTCTGTCATATTATTCATGGTGTCGTCTGCATACAGACAAATCTAGTGTTTTATTGTGGCAGGGAAATACAGTTCTCTCTCTTCTCCTCCCCTCACCAGTCTCTCAGTAAGTCCCAGTCCTCTGGAACTCTACTGTTTCGTGGGGAGCGTTCAGTTTGGCTTCAGCCTCACAGTCTGGACCAGTTTCTTCAGATGAAATGGAAACATCCTGAAGCTCGAGTGGTTGTAGGAAACACAGAAGTGGGTAAGTCTGGACTCACTTTTGGCTATGTAAAGTAATTGTCTAGTGTCCTATTTTCAACATATTTTTGCTTTTGCTAAGCATTTGCTATTCTTTAAGTCATTAAGCTACTTCTTAGCTAATGTTCATCTGTGTTTTTGGCTAAACTTAACCTTTAATTAATCTGTGGATTTTGCAATTTCAAAGTTTGTTCTTTTGCCAGTTTTAGCCAATTCTGCTGTGCTTTCAGACTGTTGTTAGCCTCTGAGCTAAGTGTGCTAACATCTTTTACTCTCTGGTTTGTGCAGGTATAGAGGTGAAGTTCAAAAACATGCTGTATCCAGTGATTTTGGCGCCATCACATGTTCCTGAACTGAATTCAGTGACTCACAGTGAAAGTGGTGAGTGGTCACGTGACGCTCCACGACATAATTACAACAACAGAGCGCCCAATACAAACCTGCTTTGTGATTGGTTCCCACAGGCATTGTGTTTGGTGCAGCCTGCACACTCAGTCACATGGGGGCGGTGCTGCAGCAGGCAGTGGACAAACATCCACCTGAACACACACAGGTCTTCCTTGCCATTCTGGAGCAGCTGCGATGGTTCGCAGGACAGCAGATCAGGAACGTCGCGGTAAGTCATGAATCCTGATAGAGTTTCACGAAGAATACTGGACTTCCAGGGAAATTCACGGTGTATTAACTGCTCCACTGATTTCAGTGTGTCGGAGGAAACATCATGACGGCAAGTCCCATCTCAGACCTGAATCCTGTTTTCATGGCAGCAGGCTGTCAACTCACTCTCATGGACAAAGGTATGGCTCTTGGCTAATTTGACAATCATTTTTAGTTGCCTCATGGCAAACATTTAGATATTTGTGTCTAATTTGATCACATTAGCTAAGCATGAACTATGTGATGCTGTGTTTCTTCAACAGATGGCAGTCGTGTGGTCCAAATGGATGATGGTTTTTTCCCCAGTTACAGGAAGACTGTGGTGCGTCCACAGGAAGTTCTGGTTTCCATTCTGATCCCATTCAGCCAGAAGGTACAGTGTCTCACAGCAGCCGCTGTCACAGAAAGAGTTCCAGTGCTGACTCTGATATCTCCACTGCTGTCTTTCTTCCTTAGACCCAGTTTGTCTCCGCATTCAAACAGTCGCCACGTCGAGAGGACGACATCAGTATCGTCACGGCATGCATGAGCGTAACCTTTAGTCCAGGAACTAATGTGGTTCAGGACTTGAGGCTGAGCTACGGTGGTATGGCAGCAACCACCATTTTAGCCACAAAAACAGCTAACAGTCTGCTGGGAAGGTGATTATCCTTATGCTAGCTAACCTCTTCTGATTAATGCTAACCTTGGTAATGGTGTTTTGCGTGAATGAAAATGTAATGTCATCCAGGCGCTGGGAGGCGGAGCTTTTGCAGGAGGCTTGCTCCTCACTGGCTGAGGAGATGACTCTTGACCCTTCAGCCCCTGGTGGTATGGTGACGTACCGCAGAACTCTGGCTCTCAGCCTCTTCTACAAGTTTTACCTAAACACGTTGCAGAAGCTCCATCAGCAGGTGATGTCACACAAAAATAGTCCACTATTTAACCCAGAATAATCTTAAATTTACCTAAATTTTCTTGTATCCTAAAGTCACATATATGTTTATTAATATAATCTGAAGCCATTTTCCAACAGTCATGACGTCATCAACGTTTTCCCTTTACCAACTTGTTTGCCCATTGTCATTGTCAGGGAGTGTCTGTGGACGAGGTTCCCTCTGACTGTCTGAGTGCAACAGACATGTTCCATCAACCGATGCCCTCTAGTGTCCAGATCTACCAGGTGCAGCTCACATGGTGCTGAAGTGAACTCTTTTTCACACATTGTTTTATTGAATAAATAAGAGACTGGTGTGACTGTTCTGCAGGGAGTGCCGAAGGGTCAGGACCAGGATGACGTGGTGGGCCGTCCTCTGATGCACCTGTCGGCCATGAAGCAGGCCACAGGAGAGGCCGTTTACTGCGACGATGTGCCACTCTATGAGAATGAGCTCTACTTGGCCCTTGTCACAAGCAGCAAGGCTAACGCTCGCATCCTGTAAGCCCCGCCCACTCACCTGTAAAAACACCACACACTCTTGTTTTAGATCTGAGGAAAAGTCACAAAAGTCACTGTTATTTTTAATGTTAAAAATAAGAAGGGATTTCCTATATATATATATTTATATATATACATATAATATATGATAATTAAAGTAAATCAGAAACCTTGTTCTAACACAGTGGTTAACTTTTCATCAATAGCTCCATTGATAAGTCGGCAGCAGAGAGTTGTCCTGGTGTGGTCTGCTGTGTTTTTGCCGAGGATATTCCAGGCTGTAATGTCACCGGAGTGGTGGAGTACGATGAGACGGTCCTCGCGCACACTCATGTGAGTCCCTTTCTTCTGTTAAATCAACAAACCAGGTGAACGTGGAAGGTTAGCTAAGGCTGCCCTGTTATGCTATAGGTCACATGTGTGGGTCACATCATCGGAGCTGTCGTTGCCGACACCCAGCTCCATGCTCAAAGAGCAGTCAAGGCCATCAAGATCCAGTACCAGGAACTGGAACCTATTGTGACCATCCAGGTAAGGTCACATGACCCCCCCCCCCCCCAACATCAAAGTTTACAACGAAGTTTAATTAAAGATTAAATAAATGTTTTTGATTGGCAGGAGGCCATTACTGCCCAGTCCTTCTATCAGCCAATCAGAACCCTCCAGAGAGGAGACTTATTGAAGGGATTTAAACAGGCTGATCACATTTTGGAAGGTTCACGTCAACTCTCTTTAAACTTTCTTCAGTTCCATTTTTCCCTCTTCCTTTTTATCTACCTTCTTGTGCCTTCTTTTCTTTCTCCTAATGTCATCTCCACATCTGCTTCTGCTGACCCTTCACTTCAAATGTTTTGTCTTAATTTCGTTTTCTTACTGTTCAAATTTCTTCGTGTTGAAGTTACTTCTGTTAGGCTGAACCATCACATGCTGATGAATGATCGTCTGATCCTCAGGGGAGATGCACATGGGAGGTCAGGAACATTTTTACCTGGAGACAAACGTCACTCTGGCTGTTCCACGAGGAGAAGATGGAGAAATGGAAATTTTCGCATCCACACAGTCTGCAACTAAAACACAGGTATAGTTATGATAGAACCATGGACACAATGAAGTGTCCATGGTTATCGGTAAGGTGATTGCTCTGGTACTGTAATGCTACTAACAATGTTAAAAAACAATTGCTGGTACACCCTAAGGCTATGTTGTCATTGTTGTGTAAATTGCTAACTTTTGTGTTTCTGTCTTAGAGTACTGTAGCAAAGGTCCTGGGTGTGCCCGCCAACAGGGTAGTGGTACGGGTGAAGAGGATGGGCGGCGGCTTTGGGGGGGAAGAGAGCCGGACGACGATCTTGTCAACTGTGGTCGCTGTGGCGGCTAACAAGTATGACAGAAGAAAAACGTAAACACAGTTGTTTCTGCACTTTTTGGACTTTAATCTTCATAAACACATTTATGTCCTAGGTTGAAGAGACCGGTCAGGTGTATGTTGGACAGAGACGAGGACATGCTTATCACAGGAGGACGACATCCTTTCTATGGAAAATACAAGGTAATGTTGTGGTCATCTTCATCTCATGGTCTTTGTTTGTTTCTTGGTTGTGGACAGTCTTCATTTACTTCTCCTTTTTGTTGTCCACGTCGTCTTCGTCTACTTCATCCTTTTCGTCTTCTTCTCAGGTTGGTTTCCTAAACAGTGGTAAAGTGGTGGCTCTGGATGTGTCCTACTACAGTAATGCTGGGAACTCCTTGGACCTCTCTCTGTCTGTGAGTAACAATCCAGTGCTAACATTTAAATACCCCAAATGAATGATTTACATTTAAATTGTGTATCTTTTTTCCAGTAAGCTGTTGTTGGAGCATTGTTTTACTATTTTTAATTCTTTGCCAACATTTACCTTTATTTGTGCAACCATGAAGCTATTTCTGTCCCTCCTTGTCCGGAGAATTATCCTCTCAGTTTACTGTGTTAACATCCAGCCTCTACACCCTGACTGTCAGTCGTTTTAAATCCACTCTAACACAGAGGACAACTCTAATTACCTTCTGAATGGTTCCAGGTCATGGAACGTGCACTGTTTCACATGGAGAATGCGTACAGCATTGCTAACGTTCGCGGTCGAGGCTTCTTATGTCGGACCAATCTGCCGTCCAACACGGCCTTCAGAGGCTTCGGGGGACCACAAGGAATGCTGGTCGCTGAGAACTGGATCAATGATGTTGCTCTGAGTTTGGGAAAGTACAGCGAAGAGGTATGTGGAGTTTTTGAAGACACGAAACAGACATAATAAACAATTTATTATATCAACTTATTATACTAATTATTATACTTATTATGATATTATATACATAATGTATGGCTCTCACGGAAAGACTTTTTTGGCTTTCTCTGCTAGAAAGGTTCCCGATCCGGTGCAGTACTTGTATGTTTTTCCCCCCAGGTTTCTAGTTAAAGGTCCTGGGAGTAAATTTGTCTCTTGCTCTAGTCCTATTGTAAAACGTCACAAGTACTGCCACTAGTTCCTTGTACTTCTTTCAGGTATACATATGTCCTGGTACTGTTATTGGTTCCTTGTGCTAGTTCCTAAAAGGCTTTTTGGTATTGTTCCTGGTATCTGGTACTATTTCGTTCCTGTGTTTGTCTTCTCCAGGTCCGTCGGTTAAATTTATATAAAGAAGGGGAGTCTACTCCCTACAATCAGATCCTTGACCATGTGAACCTGGATCGCTGCTGGGACGAGTGTCTGTCCCGGTCTGGGTACCAGGAACGCCGTGCTGCTGTGACACTTTACAACAGGTAAATAAACCCGGACTGACAGAAGACAGTCCCAAAGATGGGTGCTTTTTGTCATTAAGTTCCCAGTCTATCACTTGTTGTTGTTTGAACAGACAGAACCGATGGACCAAACGAGGCCTTGCCATGGTGCCCACAAAGTTTGGCATCAGTTTCACCGCGGCCTTCCTGAATCAGGTCTGCTACTGGACTCCTCCCAGTTCCCAAGTTTCAATCAAATCTAGAATTTTTGAAAATGTGCCTCATTCTACTGTTGACTCCACAGGCTGGAGCTCTGGTCCACATCTACACCGATGGTTCTGTATTGTTGACTCATGGTGGAACCGAAATGGGACAAGGTCTCCACACCAAGATGGTCCAGGTATGAACAGTTGAATGTTCCATCCTGAAACAGTTCTGATCAATCTGGTATTTGAGGTGAATGGTTCCTGTGGTTCCAGGTTGCTGCTAGAATTCTTGGAATCCCCTGCTCCAAAATCCACATCTCCGAGACCAGCACCAACACGGTCCCCAACACCAGCCCCACTGCGGCCTCTGCCTCCTCTGACCTCAATGGTGCCGCTGTTCAGAACGCCTGCGAGATCCTGATGGAGCGATTGCAACCTTACAAGACTAGGAACCCCAAAGGATCCTGGGAGGACTGGGTGAGCTGTTGAACCCAGAGTTTTACAATTTCACAAAAGCAACTTTAAAAGTTAATAAAAATGTTATATTGTAGGTGCATTCTGCCTATTTTGACCGAGTAAATCTGAGCACCACTGGCTTCTACAAGTAAGTTCATCCTCGTACCACAATCCAGTTTACACTAGTCCAGTTTTACTAAATCCAAATCTCTGCCTCTAGGACACCAGACCTTGGGTATGACTTTGATAAGAACTGTGGTCGAGTGTTCCACTACTTCAGCTACGGCGTGGCATGTTCCGAGGTGGAGATTGATTGTCTGACCGGAGCTCACAAGGTTGTTGTTAGGTTCTCTGTGTTACACCTTAGAACCGCTGCTTGTTTTAGTCTACACTTACTAACGAGTGCTCCTGTTGTTACGGTGTAGAACCTGAGCACCACCATTGTGATGGATGTGGGACACAGTCTGAACCCTGCCATAGACATCGGACAAGTGAGTTCATGTTAAGATCCTAGAACTTTCTGGTACTGATTTTGGCTTTTGGAGAATTACTTGAAGATGAGTATGTTTATGAGTCATGTACCATGCTTGAAATCTGGAACACTCTAATATATGTTTTGATAACAGTAGTACGTTATCAAAACGTACGTTGCTGGCTAATATTAGTGCCATGATGGTAGCAGTTGCTGTGTTGTGCATAACACAACACAGGGTGTTGTGTTATGCTTGCATGATAACCAGCGTTAGCTATCGGATAATAAATTAAACAGAATATTTATATCATGCTAATCATTGTTAGCTTTGTAATTGTATGTTTTTTAATCAATAGCATGCTAACCAGTTTATTTTCTCTCACTAGAACAGTAGTAGTAGCTGTGGGGCTTTTACTATGCTAAATAATGTTAGCTTTAAGTGTAGATTATTTGTTCTATATTTTGCACTGTGCTTTCAAGTGTAATAGTTAGAACTCCCCAGAGAAAATACCAATATACTGTAACTTTATGTCTGTAAATGTCCTTTAAATGTATTTGTTACAAAGTAATTGTCGTAAACATCACAATTCTAACATTATTACATAGCCTAAATGTTTTGCCGGTCTCTGCAGGTAGAGGGGGCCTTTATGCAGGGTCTGGGTCTCTACACCCTAGAGGAACTCCATTACTCTCCTCGTGGTGTTCTTCTCACTCGAGGTCCTGGTTCCTATAAGATCCCAGCCTTTGGTGACATTCCCACAGAGTTCACTGTCTCGCTGCTGCGTAATGCACCCAATGACAAAGCCATCTTTGCCTCTAAGGTGACAACACCACTGATGATGTCATTCAAGTGGAGTTCTGACAAGGAGCCCAGAGCTAACCTGATTTTTGTTGTTGTTTGTACAGGCAGTAGGTGAGCCGCCTCTGTTCTTAGCATCGTCCAACTTCTTTGCCATCAAAGATGCCGTCACAGCAGCCAGGGCAGAGTCTGACCTTCGAGGTCCATTCAGACTGGACAGCCCTGCCTCTGCTGAGAGGATTCGCAATGCCTGCAGTGATCGATTCACCAAAATGGTATGAATACTTCATTTTGAACAGGTCAAAACACACACCTACCAGGAGAGGCTGTAGGATAAATGCTGCAGTCCCTCGAGGATGAGACATGTCGTTCTGTTTGTGACTTTTTATCCTGTTTGTGTTTGTGTTTCAGTGTCCACCAGCAGAACCTGGTTCCTTCAAACTCTGGTCTGTGCGGGTCTAGGACTGCAGGTCCAGGTCCCAGTCCCCATTTATTTTATTTGGACATTGGTCTTACAACTGGTAGTTAATCAGCTACATTTAGATAGAATAGAAGCTAACATCTAGTGATCCAGCCAGTGAGAACCAAATACCAAATAAAACACATTCTTCTTCAACATAAAATATATAAAAATAATAGAAATCTAAGTAAGTAATATATTAACTACCCACCAAGAAAATATGTAAACAGCATAACTTTTGTGGGGTTTGTTCAGGAAAAGTATTTTTGATAAAATGTGGGTAACACATTTTGCACCTGTAAATGGTTTTGTTTGTTTTCAGTTTCTTTCATCTGTTAATCTCTCATCTCAACACAGTGGTTCTCCAACTTTTTTTTACTGTGTACCACCTGAGAAAACATTGATCTCTCTGAGTACCACCATGATGACCAACATCAGAGTATAGCAGCAGAGGCCTTCAGTGTTAGCTTCCACCACAGGAGAGATGTTTAGAAATGGTTATGTTTAAATGTTGTATTAATTGTGCATGGTATGTTTCAGATTTATTCAATTGAAAAGGTAAATGTGAAAAATTTCCCAGCATACCACTAGAGAGCGCTCGTGTACCACTGGTGGTACGTGTGCCACAGTTTGAGAACCACTGCTTCAAGTCATTTTCTGAAATGACTTAAATAAATTACACATTTGATAAAACTTTGAATTTAATGTTTAATATGCCAAACATGAATAAAGTAATTAAACTGACTTAGTTTTTTATTGTTTTTTCTTAACATTTACTGTAAATGTTCAAAATAAATACAAATCTACTTTGAGCTTTCTTTACACGATAAACATTGGACCGATAACAAAACAAAATTTAACTAAAAATGGAAAATAAAATATCCAGTCAGATAAATGAAGCCTTTTTTTAAATGATATTTTGACATTAAGCAGTTTGTACAGCAAATGTTCTACAATCCAAGACCAACATCTAAGTCTTCACACTGATGTGTGACATCAGCTCTAAGACTCATCTCCACATGACTCCACATAAGTGTGAAGAGTTTTCTCAGAGTGTGAAGAACCAGGCATAGTGCACATCCCAGATCCTCCTGAACCCAGATCAGGTTTGAGGTCAGACATGGGTGGGCCGTCGCTCCATATTAGGTTTGTTGTTGCTTTTTCATATCACCCACCTCAAACCCCTGTCTGCTGCCACAAAGACAGAGCTCACACCGAATCACTGTGGCCGTAGCTCACAGCACGCAGCAGCTGTTGATCCACTGCTAACTACACATCACTAAGTAAAGTAGTTGATGTGACCCACTGTTGATCCTACCATTGATCCTAGTGGTACCAACTGACCACCGGAGGCAGCAGTGAAGCAGCAGCTGCTGTGTTCCTGTCAGTTAAGATTTTTTTCTACAGATTTTGGTGGGAATGTGTGACGTTAAATTCCTGCAGTAACCATTTGAACCAGCAGGGTCGCGCTCAACTACTCACAGTTGCAGGGGACATAGGTTCACATGTGAAGTGAGATAGAGGGAGAGACAAACGCAGGGCAGTGGACTTTGTGTCTGGATCTGGGCTGGTCCTGCGTCTTGAATTTTGTTTCTGGTTCTTGGTTCTGATTATGGCTCCCAGGAGAATGGAAACCAAACCTGTGATGATGTGTGTGAAAACTCTACTGATGTTCTACTCCTTTATCTTCTGGGTAAGAAACTCTTATATGTTAAATACAATATTTTTTGCCATTAGAATCTTATTTATTAATTTGACAATATATTTGACATTTGTTTTGTTATGTTTCAAAGCAATGACATAGGAAGTTTCTTTTGACAATTAAACTCCCTCTTTAGAAGATATCAAAGGTCACAGAGGTCAGTTGGTGATGATGTGTAGGTAAGAGGTCATGTGTGGAGAGAGTGAGGAATGAAGATGTGACACCAGGGTGATAATGAAAAAACATGTAGACACACTGTGTCCTTCTGATTCACTGCAGTTTCTCTAAACTTGTTTTTTGAGTCAAAAACTGCACTAATATTATCAGGGAGATATATTTGTAGTGTGTGTGTTTGTGTCAAAATTAATGAGCTAACTTATAAATAATAATAAATATATGAAATAAAAGAATGGCGCTCATTGTTCTCCATGTTTAAAAATAGACCACATTATTTGTTTTGTGTATGTTGCACTGCAGAACTGCAGCTCTATTTCCATTAATGTGGTATTTCTGCTTCTAACGGTAGCCTCCTTAATCCTACAGAATCAAAAATTAGATCCTAATACTACAGGATTGTTGTGTTATTTGATGATTGGCTGCTCTCCCGTCCCGCTCAGGTGACAGGCGTGGTTCTGCTCTCTGTCGGCCTCTGGTGGAAGTTTATGTTGAGCCCGTACATGCTGCTAATATCCAGCGCCCCTTCTAATGCTCCATATGTTCTTGCTGGAACGGGCTCTGCCATTGTTCTCTTCGGTCTGTTTGGCTGCTTCGCCACCTGCAGAGGGCGCCCCTGGATGTTAAAACTGGTCTGTTTTGAACATTTCCATCTATTTTTCTTTTTTAACTTCAGTGAAAGCTTGTGATCCCCTTTGATCACCTTTGAATGATATTTCTACTTTCTCCTCTTCGTTTTTTTGTCCTTTTTTCTCCTCACTTTCCTCCTTTCTTCTTCATTTCATCTTTCTCTCTTGTCTCTATTTGCTCTTTTTTTCTTTTACACTTTTGGTCCAATCACTGTTGACTTATCTTATCCTTTTCTTCTCCCACCTCTTTAATCGTTCTTCTCAGTATGCTGCTGCGCTGTCTCTCATCTTCATGACGGAACTCATCGCAGGAATTTCTGGGTTCATCTTTCGCCACGAGGTAAGAGTTAAAACCTAAACTAAACAAACAGACAAACACAAAAAACCGAAACAAATCACAAATATTTTTTCTATGCAGATCAAAGAGACGTTCCTCAGCACCTATAGTGAAGCGGTGACCAACTATGATGGAAGAGATGACAGAAGTTTAGCAGTGGACGGTGTCCAACGCCGGGTCAGTATCTAACTACAACCATCTCTTTCTCCCTCTCTCTCTCTCTCTCTCTCTCTCTCTCTTTCTCATGTCTTTCATGTCCATTGGACTGTACCAGAAACATGCAGAACGATGAACCCTCTATAAGCTTATGAATGGTTCTTGAAAGTTACTAATCCATCCAACTGCTCCAACACAGTTAAGACCAGTGGTTTATAGTCCAGAACTGGGTCTGGTCTAGTTTTATAAAGATGGGGCTTTTAGACTTTAGTTTATACAAAGTTCCTGGTACTGTCTATGGTTCCTGTTTCCTATTGAAAATGTATTCTGTTCTATGTATTGTTCCTATTTTGTGGTTCTTCTTATGCACGTGTGTGTGTGTATGTGTGTGTTTGTAGCTGCACTGCTGTGGTGTGTATAATTACACTTCCTGGTTGAGCAGTGTTTACTTTCCTACCGCTGGAATTCCCTCCAGCTGCTGTGTCACTCTGTCTGACTGCAAGGACGCAGACTTGAGGGATGCCAGCAGAGCAGTCAACAAAGTCTACTCCCAGGTATACACACAGACATTGGTACAAATGGCATTTAAGAGAGTAAAATGATTGAACATAGGAATAAATGAATTGTTGACTTTTGGCAGGGCTGTTATGAGCTGGTGACGTCCTTTATCGAGAGGAACATGGGGATTATTGCAGGTGTCACGTTTGGAATTGCCTTTTCCCAGGTGAACCATAGAGAAAGTCCATAAAGATGTACAGTACATGGATAGACTGAGTGGTCTTAGCTCATAGAGACACAGCAGTTGTTGATCCACTGGTGTCTCAATCACTGACTTAATATTTGCTATTTTGTGACATCACCACAGAGGCCAGCAGTGGACCAGCAGCTTCTGTGTCTCTGGACTATAGATTTCTCTCCCCCTGATTATTGGAGTCTACAGAATCACTGTGCTCTTTTCTTGCTGAAGTATTAGCAAGTATAAATATTTTTTCTGACTAATTTGTTTTATTTCAAAGCTAATTGGGATGTTGCTGGCCTGCTGTCTGTCTCGACTCATTATTGCTAATGCCTACGAAATGGTGTGAGGTAAAAAAAACATTTTTTAATTTTTTTTTTTAATCTGTATCACGACTAATCTTTCCTCTTTGAATAAGGTATAATATGAAAACTTCAGAGGCGGAATCAACAGCTTCAGTGTGAAGTCACGTGATGCAGCCAACAGCCACTCTGAGCAGCAACAATGTGACAATTCCTCATGAGAACAAACTACGTTTAACACCAAAGTAAATTTGTCTAAACATCATTTTATTTTGACAACTGTGAGTTAAATTGTTGGAATTAAATAAAGTTGATTATTAATTGAACTGTTTCAAAATTTAAATGTTCAATTTTCCCTAATTTAAACTTATTTCATCGCATTCATTTTTTTCTTTGTTCTTTTTATTGTAATTTTATTTATTCGTGAAATTTTGAAGTGATTTTTATTTCCGATGAAAGACTGCTCTTATTTTGACATGACCGGATATTGTGGATTCCTTATTTCTGCTTGCTTGAACAATAATTCTGATTTACGCCATTTTTTATATTGAAACTTCCACATTGTTCGTCAGCGCTTTCGATTTTAGTTTTGTTTATTAATTCCTCAAAACACATGTCCGTGGTATTATTTTTGAGATTTTCTCTACAGCAGTGACGTCATAGTTCTTTACTGGATGTGATTGGCTCAATTGGAAGGTTCGGTCTCCTTTGGTACCGAAACACCCGGCCCCTCCGGCAACTGTTGCCGTTATAAGAACACACCTTCCATCTCCCCCTCCCGCTCCTCGTCGGTGACACGGGACGCCGGATAATATCCGCTTTGACACCGGCACACGACGATAGCCGGCGAGCTGACAGCGAGCTTTTGAGCATCACAACTGCTTGTTTACGGTAAGAAAGCTTATCTGGCCTTTTAATCACGCGCTAAATATAAACCAGGAAATTCGGAAAAACTAGGGATTTCCCGGTGGAATAATCACAGTGGACTGAGACACATGACGCCAAACGGTGTGTTTGTTGTAAAACAAACGGTTCGATCAATCTAAAGCAACATCGTTGAAAACATGACGTATTTCTTTTAGGACATGCTAAGAGATCTATTTTATTTGTTTAATTTCATTTACTCTGATCATCGTATGATTTTACTTAACTTTGCCCTAACTTCCTGTTATCTTTCCGCTGTTTAGCTAAAATGTTGTGTATGGCGTAGTCTTTTGTAAATTTGTTTGAGTTGTTATTATTTAGTTGTTTTCGGCCAGCATTGATATCTAACTACAGTATTTGGGGGTCTTTTCAATTTAAGTTGGTGACTTGTAATATTTGTTGTTTTATTATTTTTGTCCAATCCTTATCTTTCCAGGAAAGTATTTTGGCTTTTAGGAAATATTTGTCTGTTAGACCTGTGTTGACCATAGAGGTGGGCGGAGCTATTGTTGCGGACACAGCAAGGCAAATTATTAATTATTAATTTTGCACTGAGTAATTGTAATTGTATTTGGTGGATTTATCATTTAAATGGTATTTCATTGTTTAAATACTGGGTACGTGGTGCACACAATAGTCCTATCTACCAAAGGAGGAGCTCTGAAGGAGTTTTTATTTTATTTATCCACCTTTAGCCTGTATAAATCATAAGAGCCAACAGACATGTGCTAACAACTAATTATGGTGTTTTCTTTGTGTGAAACCTGTAGAGCAGTCTTCAGCAGAGTCAGACAGCAGTTGCAGTGCTGTCGGGTCAGGACCTCCTTAAGAATTTATCCTAGACCTTAATCCTTCACAAAGCATTAGTGTATCTAAGTTAGTCCAGTGATGCAGGTGACTGAATCCCTCACCCAGAAGAAGTCTCTCTTCGGTGCCATGTCCCGCTTCATTGGCGCCATTGACGACATGGATCGGACTGTTCTGGTACCAACTTTACTGAGAGATGTTCCTGTGGACCACGGGGGGGATGAGGACATTCAGCAAGACATGTACGGCTCATTTGTGCTGCTTAAATCTATCCGTGACAACATGGAGAGGGGTGTTGCTCAGGGCGACAATGGGCAAGACAAAGAGCCTGGGTGCAGGATGGATGAAGAGGAAGATCAGGATCTGGAGAAACTGTTCCATTTCCACTTGAATGGACTCTCTACTGTTCTGTCAAAGCTGACACTCAGAGCTAACACGCTAACAACGCGCTACAAGGAGGAGATTGGCTGCAGGAACTAATGTACAAGGTTTGAAAACCTGCAAAGTTTGTCAAGAATGTTTTGATTTTGTTTGGACTAAATAAATAAAAAATAATTTATACATAAAATAAATGAGCCTTGGTTTTTATCAACGATGAGGAATTAATAACATGAAGTACGGTTGGGAAAGATGAAAGTAAAGTGAAACCAAAATAAATAAATAATTAACTTAAAGTGGTAAATAAAAACAAACAAAACAAAACCTTACACTAAGAAATAACAACAAAATAATTAATTATTTACAAAATATCAAAACAAGCAGTCATTGATTTATTGTCAAGCACATAAATAAAAAGACCAGAAAAGTATAATTAAAAAAGCTAATACCTTTATGTTTTTATTACTAAATGTATACTAAATAGTTGACAAAAAGATTTTGGAGTGCAGAAGTTTTTTTTTTAACAGAATCCTATAGTGTACAGAATCCTAAAGTTAAAACGTTTAAAGATAGAAGAGTAGGTGAAAACAATTAAAAATGAGTTATCTGTGAGTGCGATTAGATACACACTGATGATGCACATCACATCAAACAAGCTGTAAAATACTCACTGAGGGAGTTGTGCATGTTGAAAAATCATGATCAAATGTATGAAAATATAATACATTTAATTTGGTAATGTATTGTTTATACTGGCAAAAATGTTTTCAATTCAGATCTGAATCGCATAAAATGTTGTAAGTGCACTAGAGGTCGCTGTGATCAGCAGCCCCAGTGAAACACCCACAATAGAAGGAGCAACAACAGGAAGCCTGAAGTTGAAGATGGCGGCGGAGACGGCGTTAGCAGCACCTAGCTCAGAGTTACGAGTCGATCTGCTACCTTCAGATCCGTTGTTGCACATCTTTTCATTCCTGGACTACAGAGACCTAATCCAGTAAGAATCCAGAATCGAGATTAGAATATTCTTCCAAACCTGTCTGCGTTAAACAAGCGACAAACAGATACAGTGTTCACATTCGAAAAACAGCTGAGGCTGCTAACAACAACAGAGAAAAATATTTGAACTAAAGAGTTTAAGTTTCATACCATGACACCAACGAGTTTGATATCGCTTTATTTACAATAAATAGTAAAGTTTCTATTTTAGGTTAGGTTGTAGGCGCGAACATATGCCGCTTTTGTGAATCTTAGTTTAGCAGTTGACGGTAGTTCTGAGCTTACATGGAAGCTTTTCATAATTTACTCGTTTCAGTTTTTCAAATTGTATTCTGACTGATCAGTCTTTTTTTATCACGTTGGATGTTGCATTTTCGTTCTATTAGTATTGTACCAAAAACTAAAAACACTATAAAACAATATCAGAGTTTGTTTTTCGTCTAACTTGAAAAAAAATCTACTATTATCTACTATTGTTTAACGTTTAATTTTTTGCCCTTTTTTTACTCTTTTGGCTACCGTTTTGTTTTTGTTTTTTTGTTTCAGTTTTAGCTTTAATAGGGCAAGTGTTTCGTCAGTCAGACAGTGCTGTGTTCTTCCTGTCATTGGTCTTTCACTTCAGTATTTCACGCCCCACATCGTTTTTGTTGTGGTTGCAGCTGCAGTTTTGTGTGCCGGAGACTGAACGAACTTTCTAAACACAACCTGCTGTGGAAGAGGCTGTGCTGTAAACATTGGCTCTTCACAGAGTGAGTCCATCCATTCACCTGTGTGTTAAGACTTCCTGGTTTTTATTTTACTTTTTTTTTTGACACAAATGATTATAAAAAATGATAATTTATGGACAAGTGTGACATTAAAAAATCTTAATTATAAATAAATCTAATATTCAACTATTGGACTGATCATTTATACATTTAATAAATCTCAAATAGTTGTTTAGTGCATTAATACTGTTTTTAATGTATGAACAATAATTGATATCTTAATTAAATATTTGTAATTCCTTGATGGAACTGTTTGTCACACTGTTGTTATTAATTAAGAATAATAATAGAGTTTATATATAATTTATATAACTGACTATGTTAAAAGCTTTTTTAAATTAAAAATTTAAAATCTGTTTTGTTTATAAAACAATCTTGATTAAAGAAAAACATAAAAGTTTTCTTTCTTTTAAGATTAAGACTTGAACTTTAATTTCAGTCATAAAAAAACCCACACGTATATTATAATATGATTGAAAACAAACCAATTCTTTAAAGATAAAAAAAGTTACTCTTTTTTTCTATTGACTTTTGTTTGTGTGTTCGTGTTGCCTTATTTGTATTTCTACTCAGTGCTGAGCGCCTGCACGGTGGTACGTCCTGGTACTGTTTGTTTCAACAGTACTACAAGGACCTGGGTCGATACATCCAGTACTACGGCAGTCTAAAGAAAGCATGGGAGGAGCTAAAGAGCTTCCTGCAGCAGAGATGTCCACGCATTATCGCATCGCTCAAAGGTCCGTACACAGTAGATCTGACTCTTAGGCCTGTTTTTCTTTAAGCTTTTTTTTTTAAAGTTAGCTTAGTGGTAATTTACATGTTGCATGAGCCTAAAACCTAAGCCAGTCAAAGACATCTATGTTAGCCCTGAGTCAAAACTAACATTAGCCATAGGTACTATTTTGCTAGACATTGTTCAAATTACATTTAATTAAATTGAATTGATTAAATCAAACATGTGTTTGTTTGTTTGTTTGCAGATGGAGCCACAGAACAGGAGCTGAACAACATGGAGGCACAGATCGGCTGTAAGCTTCCAGATGACTATCGCTGCTCCTACAGGATCCACAATGGACAGAAGCTGGTGATTCCAGGGTGAGTCGGACTTCCCTCACTCCTTCCTTCCCTATCCCTTGCTCTGGTCCTTCTTGTTATTAATTCATGTGTGTTTGTGTTCTCAGACTGATGGGTAGCATGTCCCTCTCTAACCACTACCGCTCTGAGGTTCTTCTAGATGTGGAGACAGCAGCAGGAGGTTTCCAGCAGAGGAGAGGAATGAGACGTTGTCTGCCTTTGACCTTCTGTTTCCACACTGGCCTCAGTCAGTACCTGGCTCTGGAGCCTGAGGAAGGGCGACAGCAGTTTGAGAGTTTCTACCCCTGTCCTGTATGCACAGACAACAACCCCTGTCAGTCACTGTAACAGATCTGCAGAGAGCTGTACGTCTCACTTGGTCTGTGTGTTTGTGTTTGTGTGTCAGGACCAGACAGCCCAAGACCCTGCTGCCATTGACATGTTCATCACTGGTCAGTTCATTTAAATGGTTATCAGTCTGATCAACTACAGTTTTTTTGTTGGATGTATTTTATTTAAAAATAATTTTCCGAAATAGTGTTTATGGCTGCCTACCTGCAGGTTTTTCTATTTTGAAATGTTCCAAATTAAGGGATATTTTTACAAGTAACTAGGGAGTATGTTAAGATTTTAAATTGGAGAAAGCTTTTAGATTTTAGAAAGCAACTTGGGGATTTCTTTGCACTTTTTAAAAGTATGATTAGGTAAAATAGACTGTGTAACGTCTTATTTATAAAAATATATTTTCTAAAACAGCCTGTTTGTTTGACGAACTGTCATTCAGAAGTGAGTAATAAAAGTTACTATTAGGTGCAGCGCGAAGTAGTAATCATTGTAACTCCTCCGTTCTTCTGTTAACAGGAAGTAACCACAGTGAGATCAACTGTTGTGATGATCAACTCATCATCTGTAATGTCATCACATTGTTTCAGAGTAGTCAGCTCATGGACTTTGTGTTTGTGTTTAGGTTCCTGTTTCTTAGATTGGTTCACCACCTACGTCCACAATGTGGTCACAGGAGAATATCCAATCATCAGAGACCAGATCTTCAGGTAGCACAATTCACAGTACAAGACAACTCTCAGATTTTGGTAACTGTTACCTCACATCTGTCTGACCCCTCTGCAGGTACGTGCACGAAAAAGGTTGTGTGGCAACCACGGGTGACATCACTGTCTCGGTCTCCACCTCCTTTTTGCCAGAACTTTCCTCTGTCCATCCACCCCACTTTTTCTTCACATACCGAATCAGGTGAGTGACCTTTTGACCATTTGTTGCATGAGTTTTCATCGCTTCAGTCCTCTCTTGTAATCCCGTGACTCCTCCAAGGATTGAGATGTCGAGCAGCGCTTCACCTGACGCAGCCTGTCAGCTCGACAGCCGCTACTGGAAAATCACAACATCTGATGGCAACGTGGAAGAGGTTCAGGGACCTGGAGTCGTTGGTACGCTGCCCTGTCGGTCCCCTCCCCCACACACCTTAAACCCTCACTCTCACTGCCTGAGGTGATTTGCTGACATGATGTCTCCCTATGTAGGAGAGTTTCCTGTCATGACACCTGGAAAGATTCACGAATACGCCAGCTGCACCACCTTCTCCACCCCCTCAGAGTTCATGGAGGGTTACTACACCTTTCACAGGCTCGGTTAGTGTTCACAGCACACCATGAAAAGAACCAAACAAGAATTGTGGTCAGAATGAGAATGACCAAACAAGAATTGTGGTCAGAATGAGGCACACTGTATATGCAATAATTCAGCTGACCATCCACTTGTCATGGCTCTCATATACACAGTTAATACGCATGTCATGTACACACCTTATGGGAATGGGTTTTTATTCATTACAGCAACTCAGCTTAAGAAACCATTTTATCACTTTTGTTTTTTCAAGGTTTCACATTCAGGTTAGATGGTTTACCTCAGACCAGCCTCACTGAGCGCAGGGCAGTTAGTAAGTCTACTGCTGACAAGCTGGTTGACACAACAGGATTTTGTGGGACTGTAGACTGTAGGACTCACTGAATTCAGTGAGTGAATATGTTATCGTGTTATCTACAGACCAACGTCAAGATTCAAATGTCAAAATCTTGAGTTATATTTCAGTAAATTTCCCCTGACATTTTTCCATATTAACAAATTTAGATTAGTCATATATAAAAATGGATGGGTAGTTATGCGTATACACAATGCTTTTATTTTGAAGGTCTCACAGGTTTTCCTGTTGTTTGTTCCTGTCAGCAAACAAACAGGAAGTGTTTCAAGTTGCGATTCCACGCTTCCATATGGTTTGTCCACCCTTCAGAGAACCCAACCTAAGAATGGTAACTGACTTCACAGAAATCAGGTCAGTGTCACTATTGATGAGTCATGTCATAATAATCTGTGCTGGTGTCTGCAGCACAAATCCCCACCCACTGCCAAGCCCCCAAACCACAATCATAGTGACAATGACGACGACTTCTTTGATGGAGACGATGGCAATGACGATGACACCAATGGTGATGTCAGAGGAATCAACATGGCAGCGTTTGAGGGAGCTTGGTGTCCACGGCGCATCTGATCTCAGACTGTGAAACCAGCAGCAGAGAATTCCAGGGATGTATCTCCGACCAGATAGAATTTTTTTTTACTAGTTTCTATAAACATACGGACCACATGGCCAATGTTTGGAAAACACAATTGACTGTCGTTAAGACAGTGATTTTACTTTAGACACAACAATCAAGGAGCGAGGTAATGCTACGACTTACTTTTTTCTCCCTGAATCTTATCCACTGCAGCAACTGATCAGTAATCCATCCAAAATATCCATCAGCAGATTCTTGGTTCCAACTCAAGATGTCCGCTATCACGTTAATAAGGATCTCTCATTAAGTGGAACCTTTTCACAACCATATTTATATTGATACCTCATACAATAATCCAGTCTCTATGTTGGGAACAGGTCTATGAGCTCAGTGAAATGTTATTTTGAAGGGAAAGCACTTTTTTCTTTTGCTTATAGCGTGGATAAGGATGCCATCTCCTGATGTTATTGGTTTTTCTATGGGTTTTAGGTAAATAAATGGGAAATGGTCAATTCTAACATCATCTATATAAAACACTCATATGTCACATTGAAACTGATTATTAAAAAAAACAACTTTATTTGAAAAAAAATAATGTAAAAGTTCATAATTTTTCCAATCCTTAAAAAAATAATAATCACTGAAATATCTTCACTATAAATATAAAGTTAAAGTTTAAAAGTAGTGAGACCACAGATCAGGTGACTCCTGCAGTAGTGTTAACAGTGAAATAGTGCTGTCCAGTGTTCATTACCTAAAATAACATTTGGTATATTTTTCATCCAACTATAAGATCTGACTGAGGATCATAAACACTAGGACACATGAGATGTGATCTTGGGACCAGGTCCTTGATCTGAACCCTAACTAAGTTCAAAACCCAGATCAATCTAGAACTTTGACGAGACTCAGATACAGGACAATGTTGTGGTTTCACTTCTGTTAGTTTTCATTTGTCCTCTTTATCCATGACCCTGACAGTCTTTGGTGTTTTCCTGGTCCGTCTCGACTCCATCCACTCCACTCCATTTTTCTCCTCTTCCTTCTTAGGTGTTTTCCTGGTCCGTCTTGGCTGCATCCACTCCTCTTTATTTTCCTCCTCTTCCTCTGCCTTTCCATCCTGAGCTCTTTCCTCCTGATCCTCCTCTTCCTGCTTTATAATCCTGGCTGTCCTCTGTCGTTTCCTCCCGCCTCTGGTCGCCATCTTCTCCTCATCTTCCGCTTCAACACCTGCGGCTGTCTCCTCCTGCTCCTCTTCCTCCTCCTCTCCCTCCTCCAAATCTCGGGCATTGCAGCGACTGCAGTGTCTTCTAAATCCCCCCATGAAGTTGGTCTTAAAGCAGCAGAAGGGACATGCGTAGCGCCCAGGTGGATGTGCGGCCCTAATGTGCTGCTGCAGACGACTGGGAACGAAGAAGCTGCGGCTGCAGTGCTGGCAGCTGTAGGGGCGCTCCACGTCGTGGTTGCGGACTACATGGCTGATTGCAAAACCTATGAAAAAAAGATCAGAAGATCTGATAACAATGAACAACAAAAGTTCTTGAAATCATTGTTTTTCTGTACAAAGGTTGGTAGACAAAATCAGTGACACTCCTTCAGATGCATCTTAGTGACACAAAATGGCCACATATGGCAGCAGAGGACAAGCATCTGCAGTGTCTCTGGGAGATAAAGTCACTGATGTTCTCTATGAGATTCTGTATAAGAAAGTGAAAGGTTCACAATATTCAGTTTTATAGCCGGTACCTTTGAGTTTCGTCTTCCAGCCACAGATGAGACACTCGTAGCGGTTGGAGGTGAAGCGCACCACCTTTGCTGTGGCTGCTTTCTCCTCCTTAAGGAGGTCTTTGCTAAGACCAGCGACCACAACCAGATCTTCGATGTCCTCCCTGCTGTGATCTTCTCTCCTGATGGCTTTGCCGGCATAACCTCGGGGGACGTTATGCTTCTTCACCACGTGGTTCAGGCCCAGGACTTTCATCTTGTTCCTGAACCCACAGATGAGGCAGTGGTAGAAGATGCCATCAAACGTCAGAACACAGTCGCCTGCCCCAATGTCAGGTTTGTCCTCGTCCAGTCTGTGGGGTGCACCGCTGTTTTCATTCAAGTCTCCTTCCTCAACCTTTATTTTCACAGCACTTGTCTCCTTACTTTCTCTGACCATTTGTTCTTCCTCCTCACTTTTCTCTACAATCACCTCCTGGTCAACATCATCCGGCGTTTTCTTTTCTGTCCTATTCTTGTTCTCAATCACCTCATTTTTGCCCTCACTTTTCATGTCCTTCTCTTTACTTTTTACCACCATTTTCCCCTCTTCTTCCTCCCCTCCAGCCGTCTTGCCCCCCTCCCCCCGGGCTACTGTTCTTCCCTCCTGGGTCTGGGCCTCACAGTGGATTGAGATGATGTGACTGTACAGTTTGGTGAAGTCTCTGCAGGTGTAGAAACACTGAGCACAGTGAAACAGTTTGGCTGTGCTCTGGTAGATCAGGATGTTTCCCAGTCTACCAAACATCACGCCGTCCAGTGAGGCGGGGTGAGTCGCAGCCACGTGGGACAGTTGGTGGGCGTGGCTTCGGGAAAGGTGGCCACAAAGCTGACACAGCATGTGTGTTGCCACGCCACTGCCCACCTCACTGCGGCTGTGTACGGTGACGGACATCGACACCCTGGAAAATACACACTTTTGATCACTTTTTTTATAATCAAGAAATTCATTATCTTATTTATAAGGCGAAAACTTATTTTTTCTTTGTAATTTAATACTTCAAAGGAAGAATGTAAAGACGGATTGTAGGTATTCAAAATACCTTAAGCTAGATTAAAATCATGTTCGGGTCTTCCTCGATCTGCAACTATTCGCTAAATAGAAATACTTCATTGTTTTCGAAATATTTGAATAAACCCATAGAAATTACATACTGCGCAATTGTTTAATACCTGTCATATTCATCATAACACACTACACAACAAAGGATTATATTTGTGTAATGCTAACAGTAAACATTTACGATTCGGATGCTGATCTAAGGACGATCACTTGCCAGAGCTAACATGCTAAAAA